TCGGGGGGCTTCTTGGGCCGTCTTGGAGCGTCGGGAAGCCGACGAGGCGAGGAGGCCGAAAACATCGAAAAACACAGTAGAAATCGACGATTTCTGTCGCTCGGGGCCCTCTTGGGAGGCCTCTTGGGAGGCCTCTTCGGGCGTCTTGGACGCCTCGAGGGCCTCCTGGGGCGAATCTCGGACGTCTTGGGCGCTCTTGGGCTGTCTTGGGCCGTCTTGGGCCGCTCCTGGGGCCGTCTTGGGTGCCTCTTGGGCCGTCCTGGGGCCGTCCTGCGGCGTCTTGGGACCGTCTGGGGGCCCTCCTGGCCCGTCTTGGGGCTCTCTTGGTATCCTCTTCGGCCGTCTTGGAGCGGTCGAGGGGGCGTCTTGGGCCGTCTTGGAGCGTCGGAAAGCCGACGAGGCGAGGAGGCCAAAAACATTGAAAAACACAATAGAAATCGACGATTTCTGTCGCTCGGGGCCCTCTTGGGAGGCCTCTTGGGAGGCCTCTTCGGGCGTCTTGGACGCCTCGAGGGCCTCCTGGGGCGAATCTCGGGCGTCTTGGGCGCTCTTGGGCTGTCTTGGGCCGTCTTGGGCCGCTCCTGGGGCCGTCTTGGGTGCCTCTTGGGCCGTCTTGGGCGCCTCCTGGGCCGTCCTGGGGCCGTCCTGCGGCGTCTTGGGACCGTCTGGGGGCCCTCCTGGCCCGTCTTGGGGCTCTCTTGGGGTCCTCTTCGGCCGTCTTGGAGCGGTCGGGGGGACTTCTTGGGCCGTCTTGGAGCGTCGGAAAGCCGAAGAGGCGAGGAGGCCGAAAACACCGAAAAACACAGTAGAAATCGACGCTTTCTGTCGCTCGGGGCCCTCTTGGGAGGCCTCTTGGGAGGCCTCTTCGGGCGTCTTGGACGCCTCGAGGGCCGCCTGGGGCGACTCTCGGACGTCTTGGGCGCATCTTTAAGCGTGCCGGGGCTCTCCGGGGCCGTCTTGGGGGATTTTTGGGACCCTCTGGACGTGTCTTGGGGCCTCCCTGGGCGGCCCGGAGCCAGCCCGGGGCGGTTTTGGTTCATTGGAGCCTGCGCCCTTCTGGCACGCACTGGGCCCTGCAATGTAGTAGAGACTAGGGTTGACCCGTGGACTCCGTCCACGACGTCTTTCTGGAATGGTGCTCGAAGGGACAGAGGTGATTTTTCCGAAAACTTCTAAGCACGGCGGCGGCCAGATCCTAGTGGGGGCAATTTTGAAGCCTCTCGGGGATGTGCGTCAAAGTCGAAGCCCACCTGAGGCATATCAGGAGCGACCAGGGAAAGGCTCGGGAGGCCCTCGGGGAAAGCCACCGGGAGCGCAGGGAGGCTCGCAAGGATCTCCAGGGAGGGCCCAAGAGAGCTTCAAGAGGGCGTGGAATCCAATAAGATCTGAACAGAAACCGCTGTTGGATCGGATGTGCTGTCTGATTAGATTGCTGTTAAGTTGGAATCCCTCTGGGGCGCCTCCGGGGTTCCTGATTGGGCGGCCGAGAAGCTTGCAGAACGGTTCCAAGAGCCCACCCCCTCTACCAGCGGCAGTTTGAAATCTTTCGGGGTTATGCGTCAAAGTCGAAACCCATTTGAAGCGTCTCAGGAGGGCCTGGGGAAGGGCTCGGGAGGCCCTCGGGGAAAGCCACCGGGAGCATTGGGAAGGCTCGCAAGGATCTCCAGGGAGGGCCCAAGATAGCTCCAGGAGGGCATGATACTTAACAACATTTGAACAAAAACTGCTGTTGGGTCGGACGTGCTCCGCTACGTTGGGGAGGCCGTTTTGCAGAAGTTCTGTTGACAGCGAAACTCTCTCGGGAGTGTCAGGAGCGCCGGGCCCCCTCTCTTGGAGGCAGTTTTGAAGCCTCTTTGGGCCTATTGGGGGAGTGAGAGCCTCCCAGGTCCTGGTGTGGACCTCTTCGGAACCGTTTGGGACCCTCTTGGGCCGTCTTGGCTTCTCTTGGGCCGTTTTGGGGCCACGTTCAGAGCTCTGCACGTCATCTGGACCCTCATGAGGCTGTCTTCTGGGCCTTCTCGGGTTTCCTCCTCCTGCTTGTCCGACTCAACGTTCTCCTCCTCCTCCTCCTCCTCCTCCTCCTCCTCCTCCTCCATTCCTTTTTCCTTGTAGATAACTTCTCCCTGTCGCACCCCGGGGCCAGTTTTTAGGGCGGGCTGGGCGTTTCGCCTGAAACTTCCTCACCACTTGTGACTCTGAAGTTGACAAATGGGCAACAGTTTCACAGATGGAGGGCGTGTGGTTTCAAAATGTGGCTCTCGCCTTAGCGCGGCGCATACTCATTTTAAGAATTTGCAAGAATTTTGCGGATTGAGTGTGGGCAGTTTTGAAAATGTGGCTCTCGCTTGAGCGCCGCGTACATTCCGTTTGAACATATACTACAATTTCACGGATTGAGGCCGGGGGGGGTTCAAACTGTGGCTCTCAAACTTGGCGCGGCGCACATTCGTTCTAAATATGTGGAAGATTATTGCGGATTGCGGGTGGGTGGTTTTCAACATGTGGCTCTCGCCTTAGCGCCACGCACACTCGTTTTAACAATTTGCAAGGGCTTCACGGATTGAGGACGGTTCCTTTTCAAAATGTGGCTCTCGCCTTAGCGCGGCGCGCACTCGTTTTAACATTTTGCAAGAATTGCACGGGTTCCCATCATCAGCGTACCAGAAACGGTATGTTGGAAGGATTCAGGATTAGGCGGGTGCAAACATTATATGGGTTCTCTGTGTTGAAATCCTAGGACTGGCATTCTGGCTCGATTCAAGATTGTCAAGACGCAACAATCCGGCTGATCCGTGGCGTTGGGATTCCGAGAACAATGTTTTGGCATGCTTCAGGGTCTTCAAACGGGTGTCTTCCAACGAGGCAGTTCCATCAATGTCAATAAGTCGTTGCAGGGGCCTGTGATGAGGGAGCTTAGACGGAGGCTTTACTCCAACATCGTTGATGGCTTTTTGGTTTACACTGGTCCTCCTCCTCCTCGTCCGCCTTCTTGCCTCAATCCTTCATGCCCTGGATCTTGGATCGTCAATCGTAGACCCTCAGAGCATCGAAAACAACTGTTTTGGGCCTGCGTTCTGCTGATCTCTGGTCCGCTCCCCTTCTGTTGGAAGGAATTCTGCAGCCACTTAAGGCCTCTTGGCGGCCGTGTGAGAGCCTCTTGGGGCTTCTTTTCGGCTTCGAGTGGGCCTCTCGGGGCCCTCGTGTGCTCTCGTCGGTGCCGTTTGGGCCGTCTCGGAACAATATTGGGCCGTCTTGGGCGCCTCTTGGGCAGACTGGGGGCCGTCTTGGACCGTCTTGGGCGGCACCTGGGACTGTCTTGGGTGCCTTCTTGGCCGTCGTGGGGCCGTCGTGGGCCGTCTTGGACGCCAATTGGGCCGTCTTCGGGCCGTCTTGGGCCGTTTGGGGCCGTCTTTGGGGTTGTGTGGGTGCCTCTTGGGCCGTCTTGGGCGCCGCTTGGACCGTCCAGGGCCCGTCTTAGGGGCCCTGATGGGGGCATCTTGGGGCGATCTTGGGGAGCTCCGTGGCCGTCGTGGACGCGTCGGAAACGAAAAGCACGGGTATGCCAAACATGTCAATTTTCCGAAGCGAATGGGGCGACTTTGGCATCTCGGTGCTGGCCTGGGGAATCCTCGAGGGCCGTCTTCGGAGTCTCCTGGCCTGCCCTGGGTTGAAAGACAAATGTGTTCACAACAATTAAATAGCCATAGGTGCTGCCACGGGCGCTGCCTCAGCAGCTGCCGTAAACGATTCATGCATATAATGGGTTCGTTGATTTTGTGTATTTTTAATTGTATGTTTAACAACCGCTACTCCTACATCGCCTACGGGAGATATACATTCTACGTGCAGTATTACACTGCAAACGCAACAGGGGGGGGGGGGGGGGCGTGGTAGGGAGGCGACATGACAATAATTATGGGAGGGGGGGGGGAGGGGGCAGAGGAGGAGGAATAGATGGAGGAGGAGGAGCACAAGAAGGAGCAGGAGGGAGGAAGAGGAGGAGGAGGAGGAGGAGGAGGAGGAGGAGGAGGGGAATGGCATAGAGTAGCGGAGGCAGGGTGGATGGAGGACGGGGGGCGGCGGAATGAACGGCATCGCACTTGCAAGAGGACACATCGGGAGAGGACGAGGGCGGGCACGGGGGGGAGAAGGGAGCGGGTGCGAGGGGAGAACGAGGGGATGATGATGAGGGCACGGGCACGGGAGGACATAAGATGAAGCGAGGTCGCGGGCGATGGCGACGGGGCGGAGAGACCGAGGGATGATCAAGCGAGATGCTGGGGAGGGAGGGCGAGGGGGATAAGGAAGATGGGGGCGAAGAAATCGACGGGGAGACGGGGGACGTGTCTCGACCACTCCCCTCGATAGTCGATCGGGCGAGTCGCGCCCCGTCAGCGGGCGCGCCCTCTCGCGCCTGCAGCCGCAGGCCAACTATCAACTAAGACTGTTGCGGCCAGCTCGGGAATCCCTCCTCGCTCTCTCCTCGGTCTCTTCTGCCATCTTCCCCCTCCTCCTCCTCCTCCTCCTCCTCCTCCTCCCTCTCCTCCCGTCCCCCTCCTCCCTCTCCTCCTCCTCCTCCTCCAACTCCTCCTCCTCCTCCTCCTCCTCCTCCTCATCATCATCCTGTGGACTGCGTGAGTTCCTCGATCCTCGGTCTCTCATCTCCCGTCCTCCTCCTCCTCCGCGTCCTCCTCCTCCTCCTCGTCATCGTTCATCGCCCCTCGGCCTCTTTCCTCGCTCCTCGCTGTCTTCCTCCGTCTTCCTCATCCTCCCTCCCCCTCCTCCTCCTCCTCCACTTCGTCCTATTTCCTCCGTGTATGTGTATGTATGTGTATGTGTGTATGTGTGTGTGTATGTGTGTATGTGTTTATGTGTGTATGTGTGTATGTGTGTATGTGTATGTGTGTATGTGTGTATGTGTGTATGTTATCCTCCTCCTCCTCCTCCTCCTCCTCCTCCTACTCCTCCTCCGAGCTGGCAGCGGCGCGAATGAACCCCTCATTCGGCCTTCTTTGGCGGCAACTTGGGGGCCTTGAGTGACCCCTTGGGCTTCGGCGCGGCCGCGCCATCGAGCGACGGGGCGGGCTCCGACGCGGCACCTGGCGCCGCGCCGGCGTCGGCGCACGCGGACGACTCCTCGGGCGAGGCGTCCATCGCGGCCACCAGCTTCTCGGGGAGGTCGGCCTTCCTGACCGCGAGCTTCTCCAGCACGTAGCGTTTCGTCTCGGCCTTGCCGATCTTCGTGAGGATGCTGTTCGTCATCACGCAGCTGGCCATGATGAGGGTGGCCGTCTTGGCCAAGTCTTTGGCCACGGGAACGGCGGTGACCAGCTCGTCCAGTTGGGCGGCCTGCAGGGGGCTCATCCACGTCAATGACGACTTCGCCATCTTGAGCTCCTCGACGGTGCGCTCGGACGTGGGCAGCGAGGGCACGAAGAATTCCACCGCTTTGAACTGCTGCTCCCGCGCCAAGTCCCTCGCCGAAGAGGCCAGCCACGTCTTCGGGCTACCTGCCTCGTGGAACGTCCAGGCGCTGATCGCCGACATGATGTCCTCACCCGCGGGGCGGCACTTGTCCACGAACTTCTGCGCTGGCTCGCAGTCCAGCTTCTTGAGCAACTCAGCGAAGCGAGCGCTCCACTCCTTGATGATCACCTCACGCCACTCGCCCACCTCTGCTTTGTCGGCGATCGGTCCGCGCAGATCCTCGAAGCTCTTCAAGACGGAAGTCGCCTGCATGCAGCCGATCATTTTGCCGACCGGGGCAGATGAGGCCGCGCCCTTGATCAAGTTGTAGGCTTGGCACGCCGCGACGTCAGTCTGGACGTCGACGGGCAGCACGTTCTTGAGATCCACTGCGACCTGCAAGAACTTCGGGGTCATCTTGGAACAACCGTCCGAGGCAGCGGCGCGCGTCACGTAGTCCACGATCGGCCGACTGACTGGGCGGCAAGCCATGCGGTTATTGAACTCCTGGAAGGGCAACGCACCGCGTGAGGCTTCAGGCAAACGTGGCGAACATGAGATGGATGACTCCTGCTGCCAGACCTCGCTCCACATCACGATGCCGCTCTCCATAGGCTTGGATGCGCTCTGGATCTTGACCTCGTTCGCCGAAACAATGAGATCGCACCGACTCTTCATCTCCTTGATCGTGTTCCGCTCCGCGGGGGGGACATCGAACAACAAGATGACCCACGCGAGCTTGGACAGCACCCTGAATGGATCGGCGTCGGCGTCGGCGTCGGCATCTTCGAAGCCCTCGTTGCCAGTATAGATCCCGTCGATGTCCATGGAGAAGTAGTTGAAGAAGCCCATCGCCATGCCAATTGACTCATACAATATATCTCTCACGCGGTCTTTGAGCGCCAGGATCTTGTCATCGCCATCCTTGGTCTCGCCAGTGTCGTCGAGGCCGTCGATGTACTTCGCTAGCGCCTGGATGTTCTCCATGACCGCGTCGTCGGACATGTACTCCGACAGGAGCGTCCAGACGGCAACAGGCCCTTCTTGATTATCGCACCTGTGGCACATGTCGCTGATGCACGCGACGAACGCGCTCACGGACTTGAACGCATCATCTCCGAAAGTGGTGACGTTGGCCTCTCCCGCACCCGATGCCGATGACAAGCGATCCCAACCTGCTTTAGCCCAGTTCACGGTGCCTGCGCTCACGCGCATGCACACGCGGAGACGGCTGCTCAACTTATCCTTGTTGTTGGTCAGCTGGATTCCAAGATTCTTGAGCGACCGCGGGAGCTTATCCTTCGAGTCAGTGGCTGCCACGTGGCTAAAGTACCGAATCGCGTGCAAGTCCGCCAACGCCGAGGGGGCCCAACCAGTGCTTGGATCGATCTGCGGGATGCTGGGGTCGATGCTGTCCATGTCGCACGGGCCGATGGTGGCATCGGCTGCCTTCATGACGTCCATGAACTCCTGCTGCGAACCCTTCTGGATGAGCTTGTCCGTGAACGCCTGCACGAGATTATGTTGGCAAGTCGTCTGGAACTCCGCGGGCGCATCGCGCAGGATCGCAATCGAGAGGACACCTGGATCATCGCGGAATCGAGCTAGCCGAACTCCGAGCGCTTGGGTCTCCACGGACTTGCTGCCGAGCAGCGCGAACATCGTCGTGGACAGGATGTTCGCCTTCGTGAGGTCGTCCACGTTCTTGATGAAGGAGGCGCCCCTTTTCCCAATGTCGTCGACCACCTGCTCTGGCGAATCCCTCAACTTGGCGACGAAAGCCCGCGACTCCTCGAGGTCCACGCTCGCCTGGAAGAGGTCCTCGGCGATGGACGCGGCAGACTCGTCGCCCATGACCGTCGATACCTTCGAGGCCTTCGCCGAAATCCTGGTCAAAAGGTTCTCGAAGTCTCTGGCCCTGTACTTCTTGTTCCAAAGAATATCGCACGTCCAATTCTCCTTGACCTCCTCCAAGAGCTTCCTGCCCGCGTCGACGGCGCCGTCACTCACTCTGAGCTTCTTCTTCTTGTCAGTCACGGTGGGCGCCGCCTTGGATCTGAAGCACGGCGTCGCAGGCGAGCCTTCGGTCGGGGCTCGGACGGAGCGACGGCGCGACTGCACGCTGAGGAGCGAGCTGGTGTCATCGGCGTCGCCACGGTGCGCCTGAGCACCTGCAGCCGCACTCGGCGGGAAGTCGAAGCTCGGGCAGTGGCTTCCGCGTGGCGACAGATCTGAGGAGCTGGACAAGATGCCGCCTGTCTTCGTGCCCATCAGCCTGGCCGTCCGAAAGTCACCGACGATCTTCTTGGAGTTCTCAGCGTGCTGCTCCTCCGCGTCCTCCCCGTTCTCATGGCTCTCCTTCTTGTGGATCTCGCTGAGATCCGCCAGGCCACGGCGAAACCGGTAGCTGCCCTTTCGGGGCGGGGGAGGGGGCATAAGGAAGCCGAACCATGCAGCAAACCCGCTCAGAGACTCAGAGCTGAAACTGACAAAATAAAATGATGATGTCATCGAGTGGGTCGCTGCTGGTCTGCTTGTATCCCCCCGCCCCCGCCTTCGGGCCCTCCGTGACGAAGACGCCGTAGTCGCCGTACTTGCCTGGCCCGCACTGGAAGCCCAAGGAATGCGTGATGTAGTGCACGAGCTCCTCCTCCGAGTCGAAATCCAGGTTGCGATCGCTGGCGAACGACCACAACGGTTCGAATGTGCCTTCAGCGAACGCTTCATCGAAGGCCCTCTGTCCAGTAACTGTCGCGGCTTTGATGTTCGCCGCCTCCTTGGCCTGCATCTTGTTGGCGCCCGACGCCCTGTCCTCCCTGAGCATCTCGTGGCGGGCTCCCCCCTCGGCCGTCGACTTGGCCTCGTTGACGTCGGCCTGAGAGGTACCTGTTGGGTAATACTTCTTCCGCACGTAGTTGCAGAAGCCGCACTCCTTGCCCATGGGGACCTTATGGCCGTTCTTCACCTTCTCCGTCTTGGGCCACCAGAGGTACGACTTCTGGCAGCGCCTGTCAAAGGCGTGAGTGTTCTGGCCACACGGGTCGCAAGATGCGGCCCTGACACCCAGCGCCCAGTGCTGGGAGCCCTCGTCGTCACCGTGCTCCTCCTCCTCGTGGCGAGCCCCCTTGGCCCCCTTGCTCCTCGGCGCCCCTGCCGCAGGCTGCTGCGCGGCGCGCTTCCTCGCCGTCATGGCGCCGCTGGGCACAGCGGCGTCTGCCTGGATCCCCGCGGGCCGCGGGGGGAAGGAGGCCAGGAGGCCCACGGATGGGCTCGCCCAAATGGGCTTCAGCCAAAATGGCCTGGACGGTGGAATCGCTCGAGGCCTTGAACGAGCATCGCATGCCCCCCTCGTTCTTCGGCCCCGCCACGGCAACATGCACAACAAAGAAACACAAGCAGTTTCGACAACTCGGACGGGCAACTCGGGTCCTGGGGCCCGCCAACTTGGACCAACAACTCGGGCCCGCCAGCTCAAAAACTGGAGAGGGGGGGCAACTTGGGCTAACAGACTCTGGACCGCCAACTTGGATCACACGCTCGCACGCGGCGTTGGCTAACAGACTCGGGACCGCCAACTTGGATCATACGCTCGTGCGCTCGTACCAGGGGGGGGCAACTTGGCTAACAGACTCGGGACCGCCCTTTGGTACCACTACAGCACGCGGCGTTGTGATACATCCTATTGCACATGCCCGCACTGGACCCATACGCAGACACAACTGAGGCACCTAAAAACTTTTGTGCGTGCGTGCATGCGCGCGCGTGAACGTTGAGTGGAAAGGAGGAGGGGTGGGGAAGGAAGATGGGATCCGGGCTGCTGCTGCTGATGTTGGATCAGGAGCGGTGGGGGAAGACTAGGGACGGGGGCGTTGGGGGCGGCGACGAGGAGGAGGAGGAGGAGGAGGCGGATGGGGATGAGGACGACGACGACAGCGAGGATGGCGATGGAGAGTTTGCTAAAGGCGACGAGGAGGAGGTGCATCGTGAGTTCGCGGTGGCTTTGCGAAAGAAGCTGCCACTCGATGATGGCACGGTGATAGCGATGGTGGCCCTGACTTCGGTAGGACCCAAATGCGCGATACCGAATGCTGCCCCTCGTGCTTCCTCTCTGGCCACGAGAGGAGTTCGAGGGACAACGCTCGGTATCGCGCATTTGGGCCCTACTGTTCCAATGTTTCGCCACTGCGTCTACAAGTGTGGCAGTGGTGATGGTAGGTGGTGGTGGTGGTGGGGGTAGGGGGTGGTGGGTGGTGGGTGGTGGTGGTGGTGGAAGTGGTGATGGTGGCGGTGGTGGTGGGTGGTGGTGGTGGTGTTCGTGTGTGTGTGTGTGTTTGTGTGGTGTTGTGCGTGTGTGCGCGGTGGCGGTGGTGGTGGCGGTGGTGGCTTCGGGGAGCGCGTCTGCACGTTGCACAGTGCGGTCGTGCTGGTGGCGCAGGGGGGGAAGGGAGCATGACGGAGATGCTGGTGATGAAGGGGGGAGTACGATGATGATGATGGTGTTGATGTGTGGGTTTGCACGGATGGGCTGGAATGCGGAAGAAGAAGGAAGCGGAGGAGGAGGAGGGTGTTGTGTGTTGTGTGCGGAGGCGTGCGTGGGAGTGGTGGTGGTGGTGGTGTTGGTGGTGTTCGTCGCGGTGATGTGTGTGTGTGTGTGCGCGTGCGTGTGCAGTGCGGTGGGAGGTGGCGGGGTGCGCGAGGGGGGGGGGGGGGGGCGTGCGTGTGCGCGTTTGTGTGCGTGTCCGTGTGGTTTGGTGGGGTGTGCGTGTGCGTGTGCATGTGTGCGGGGCAGTTGTGGAGTGGGTGTGGGGGGGGGGGGGGGGGGGGGGGGGGGGGAGTGTGCGCGGGCGGTTGTGGGGGAGGCAGACGCGGGGGGTGGGGGGCGGATGGGGAAATATGGCGGATGGCGAGCAGGGCGACGGGGGTCTCGATGCGCGCGCGCGTGCGGGGTGGGGCGGGGGGGGGCGGGGGGGGGGGGGCGGGGGGAGAGACGTGGATGGAGGCAGGGGAGGGAGCGTGTGTGCGCGCGTGTATCTAGGTGCGCATGATGTATGGGTGGTGGTGGTGGTGGTGGCGGTGGTGGTGGTGGTGTGGTGTATGTGACTGTATGTGTGTGTGATGTGACGTGTGTGTGTGTGTGTGTGTGTGTGCGTGTGTGTGTGTGTGTTTGTGCGTGTGTGGTGCGTGGTGTATGTTGAGAGAGAGAGAGAGAGAGAGAGAGAGAGAGAGAGAGAGCGCGTGTGTGTGTGTGTGTGTGCGTCCACGTGCGTGCGCGCGTGTGCTTGGTGGTGGTGGTTGCGTGCGTGTGTGGTAGTAAAGTTGGGGGGGGGGGGCTCCGCGCTGGCTTTCGTTTCAGACCAAGTGTCAAGCGATGGCGCGATGTATTATTGGAACAATTCCAGCACGATGTGTCTATGTTGATGTACTTGCGCTCGTACATATGCATTCCTTCTACTTGCGCACTGATCAAATCCCTGAATATTCAGGTTTGTTCAGGCACTATTCAGGCGAAATTCAGGTTTATTCAGGTCATATTCAGGTTTGCTCAGGTTTATTCAGGTTCATTCAGGTTCGTTCAGGTACATCCAGGTTCCATTCAGGTTTGTTCAGGTTTATTCAGGTGTATTCAGGTTCCATTTAGGTTATTCAGGGGCAAACCTGAATATTCAGGTTTGTTCAGGCCGTTCAGGTTTGTTCAGGTTTCTTCAGGTTTGTTCAGGTTCACTGCTTGTGATTCCCTGCCCACAAAGATAAGAATTCGCGCGCTGGCCATAGCGCACGGGGTGCATCGCGACGGCCTCAGCGAGGGGGGGCCCTCTCGTTCTTGGCACGGGTCTAAGCTGATGTGTTGGCTTCTCGTACTGATGTTTCTCTCCAAAAGGTTTACGCGTGCGTGTGTGCGGTGGTGGTAGTGGCGGTGGCGGTGGTGGCGACATGGGGGGGGGGGGCAGGGGGGGCGCCCCCGCGCTGCCCGTCGGGCAACCTGTTTGGCAGCCTGAACGATGCTTTTTGCACTCCCCAGGGTGCAAAAAAACATCGTTCAGGCTGCCCAGCATGCTGCCGGAAGTGGCCCGCGCATGTTCGACACCCCCAATGAGTGTGCAGAAGTGCAGCCACCACGCGCGGGTGGGGGGGCGGCGCGGCGGCAGGGGGCAGGTAGGCGCAGGCTCCACTCGCGCGGATCGTGGGTGGACGTCAGGTGTTTGGCATGGGGCAAATTGCCAGATGCCACTGTTCTGGGGGAGGATGCCGATGCACGCGATGATACATCTGGGTTGGCGAGCACTTGCAAAGGGGGTGTCCATGGCGAGGGTTCGCGCCAAGAGGGAGGTGCCACGACGGGGGCGGCACGAAGATGGTTAGGATGAGGATGTACTGGCGCATGGCAAGGTTAACGATGAACGAGCCAGTGCCACATGTTTGGGCGTTGGCGGCGACGGCAGTGACGTTTCATTGTTAGGTGGCACTGCGGTAGCACGCAGGCTGCGGTCCAAATGCGGGCAGGCATTAGTTCAGGAGGATGAGGAGGAGGAGAAGGAGAATGAGGATAAGCAGGAGGAGGAGGACGCGGAGGAGGAGGAGGAGGAGGAGGGCGAGGAGGAGGATGAGGACGAAGAGGATGTTCAGGAGGAGAAGGAGGAGGAGGAGGAGGAGTAGGCGAATGATGAGGAGCAGGAGCAGGAGGAGCAGGAGGAAGAGGAGCAGGAGGAGGGGGATCCAGAACAAGAGGAGGAGGAGGAAGATAAGGACGAGGAGGGGGGGGGGGGGGAAGATGAGCAGGAGGAGGAGGAGGAGGAGGAGGAGGGGGATCAGGAAGAGGAGGAGGAGGAGGAGGAGCAGGAGGAGGGGGAGAAGGAGGCGGAGGTGGAGGAGGAGGAGGGAGCCAGAAGACTCCAAGAGGCCCACACGACGGCTCCAAGAGGCAAGTGGTCGCATGAGACGCCGTCCCAAATCCAAGGGGGCCCCAGACGGCTCCAATACGCTCCAATGCTGCCTGTGACGCAAGGCCAGCGGCGGAACGAATGCCGAGAGGCATCTGCGATCTGATCTGACTGTTGACGAAGCTGCCGAAAGGCATCCGTCGATATATCATGCATGGCACAACAGGTCTCCGACGGGGAAGAATGATGAAGGGCGGTTCCGACGGATGTTTGCGCGTGGCCCCAGTAGGACTCTGGGCAGTGCCAGTGTGCTCTGGGTCTGTCCTATCTCTTGAGCTCGGCACTCGGCCCTCGCCGCTCGCCAAAGGCTGATCGCCACGCAGCTGCACGGAGAGGCGGGGCAGGAGGAGGAGGGGCCTGGATACTTGTAGTTGTCTTTGTCTGTATCTATGTTAATGAGAGGAATAGGAATAGAGACTAGAGAGCAGAGGCATATTAGACAAAACAGTGGTGACTGCCTGCAGCTAAAGGCTCAAGAGGCTCACTCAGCATCTGACTCATCTGAAGAATTATCCGCCCGTACCTGATTGAGAATAAGCAGGTGATTATCGTTCATCGTGTTGTCGCTACTCATCATCCTGTCGCAAGCACGCGCCGTGTGGGCAATGAACGCACGTGCCCGTTTGAAGCGGCGCCTGAGGAGGCGCAGCTTCCACTTCGTCACCACGAGCTCACGGAACACTTGTTTGAACCTCTGGCGATTCAAGCGCACTGGCATTGCTTCGTAGTGCCGCTTCGGCGGCATGGTGCACTTTGACCGTGAGAAGTGCAATGTACTCGTGAGAACTGCCACGCTGTACACCTCGAGCCAAAAGCGGCCGTGCAGAGCAAGACCAATCATCGGCGACCCTGGCGGGGCTGGAACGTTCATGATGTTGTCATGTGTTTGTTGTTCCCCAGGGCCGCCTATGACGCGGCAGCCCCCGCTGCCCCTCCAGAGCCAGAGCCAGAGCCAGGGGGCCCTCCAGGCCAAAGGACTGTGGACGCATCGTCCAGGGCGTTCATAGCCTCTAAAGGCAGGCCAGGGAATCCCAAGAAATAGTGAATCGCAGTGCAATATGTGACCCTAGTTCGCATCGGAAGCTCGCCGACGCACGCTGCGTGCACCACGCGATTATCTCTAAGGCTGTTTGAAGGCTTTATCTGGTATCTAAACCTCCACTGGCCCTTTGGGGCGGGGCCGCCACAAATCAGGCACGTGGGCCTGCCCGATGGGGCCTGTTCGAAGCTCGAGAGGCCAGCCCTCTCCAGGCCACCAATGGGCGGGCCCGCAAGGGGCGGAGCGGGGGGCAGAGGCGGAGGCGGAGCTGGAGGCGGGGGGGGAGGAGGTGGGGGAGGAGGGGCATCGTCAGAGCTGGAACTCTCAGATTGCAAATCTACATCATCTGCACCGCAATCGTCGTCGGGCGCACCCCCCGACGATGATTCGTTATCGCTGGGGCCAGCTGGCACGGGATGGAGCGGCTTCGGTTTCGCGGCCTCTGGGCCGGCAAAGCAAACACCCAGGCCGAACGGAATTGAGTCCGTCTGTTCAACCTCTTTCGCCCGAGGTGCTTTCTTTTTTTTTGTCAGGTCGATGTGTTGAACATCGCGCGCCCCAGCACGAGCGCAAAAACCTGGCGACGCGTCGGCTCCAGCATCGCCGAACTCAACGACAGCAACTTGCATACTCTCTAATTCAGCAAACACTTGAGGCCCAGCTGGGCAATCGCCCTGGCCATGACCCTTCGGCCGACCAGGTGCAAAGTAGAAGCGATGATGGGCATGCCGACGCCGCTGCCCTGGAGCACGAAGCAGCCTGGCGAGGGCTGCATCACCCTCGCGAGGACCTGCAGCTCACCCTTGCCGAACCTGTCGACCAGCATGTGCATCTCTCGGGCCTCGCCACCTGGGCCGCCGATCTCGACCAGCATGGGGAGCTTCCTCTGCGACAGCTGCAAGTGGAAGTTCTTCACGAAGACGTCGACGGTGCCGACGTCGTCAACGGTGCTGCAGAGCCCTCCGTTCTTCACGCAACACGGGGTCTGGGGAATCGCAGTCCCTGGCGGATTCGGGACCGCGCTCTCGCCATGCCAGAAAATGGCGTCCGCCTTGGCGGCCAGCGTCGCCACCGAGGAAGATGAATCCACCAGCTCGGGTCGCAAGGCCATCCAGGGGAGGTCGACTTGCGCGCCAGCAGCCCACACATCGTCGTCACGTATGCGTCGCAACATTTCATGAAACCCACGATCACGAAGTCCACGTCTGGATCTGAGCCCCCCCCCAGTATCAGCTGGCTTCAACACACTGCCACTTCGCATGCTCCTGACGCCATCCAAGTAGCTACGACGGGCTTGGCTGGTATTCCTCGCCATAGCCGCGTAGTGCGCGAGGGAAGCAGGCGCCAAGGCGTTGAAGGCGAGCCGCAAGCGCTGTCTCTCCACCATGGCCGCCCCTGTGAAAGGCTTCACTGCAGGGTTCCAGTGAGCGCTGACGTAGGCTGACCAGGTCGATTGCTTAGTCGATGTGGCCCTGGATCTAGTCACGCAACGGCGAGCCTCTCGTTGTCTGTCAGTGACACCTCGCCTCTTCTGCGACAGCCTCCCAACACACCTACAAAAAGCCCTCCGAGACTGCTGATCTGTCAACCACGTCCGCAGCACTCGCTCTGTCTTCTCCTTGTTCAGTTTCAAAGCAAGCTTGTGATATGTTCTCCGCACGAGCTCTTTCGCACGGCGCGCCATGCCCCTCGACTTCGGTCGTCGAACCTCTTGACCCAGCAAGTGCTTCTTCTCGACCTGGACGCTTGACAGTGGCATTGACGCCACTTGAAGGCGAAGGGATCGTTGCGCCTTGAGCTGGATCTCGCGGGACAGCAGCCGCCCAATCCAAATGCGAGAATCATCATCCTGACATTGGCTGCATCGATCACCCAGCTCGCTGAGAGGCCGAATAATCTGGCGGATACCGTCGTCGTCAACAACATCGTCTGCACACGCAGCCAGCAGTCGGAACTTTGGCTGGTCGAAGTACCACACTAGACGCCCCCATGATATGCCGATGGACTTCAGCAGCTCGAGCGACATCAGGAACTGCTCCTGTCTGGACCACTGGATTCCTGCCCAGAACCTGTTCCTGAAGTCCAGGAGCGCCTCGGCGTGGGAGACCACTACCTTCTGACCTCGAACGCCCAGGAGAACTTTCAAATTGTACGAGCACGCCTGTGCCATGCGTTCTCGCAGCAACCCCGCGGCGTCGCCCACTGGGCCCGACGCGGGGGCGTCGCAAGCAGCATTGACGAAGGCGCTAGTCACGGTCTCCGACTCGAATACGTAATTCAAGAACTGCTGCAGAGGGGCTTGCAACGACAAGACCTGTGGGCGGCAACACTGCTGCACGATTTCCCTGGTCGGCGCCCGCTGGCGACCCCGAAGGACTTTGGGTGCCCTGCGGATCTCCCCCCAGCCCCTGGAAAACAGCAAGCACTAGCACGTGCAACGTCAACCTGGGAAAACATACAGCAACGCCTTGCAACCCCCAAGACCTTGAGATGCGTCATGCCCTTGAGGTCCCCGTTCATGTACTTGATGATCAGGCCAGCCTTGACGACGGTCTTCGCGCCCGCAGGCGCGTCGCCCCCCGCCATGGCCACGAGCGCCTCGGCATCGTTGACCATCTTGGCGGAGTACGCCCTGCAGAATGCACGTTGCAGTAAGTTGTGCTGAGCCCTGCCGCGGTAGCACCACGCATTCGCCTTCTCCATGTGCTTCCATCTGTACTCCAGCGCCAATGGGCAAGTCGCCCCAACTGACATTTTCACAACATGTTGAAACTTCTTCAATGCATCCGTGCGAGTCCTGCCGCACACGCAGTCGGGCCCGCACCAATGAATGAGAGCCGCCTCTTCGGACTCCCAATCTCCGTTATCATACCGAAGGATCTCCAGCTTCGATTGCTCGGTCATCTCGTAGCCGCCAGCAAGGTCCAGGACCCGACGAGCATGGGAGCGCCACTGCTGAAACCCAGGAGGCGGCTCTAGAAAAGGCCGATACCTGAAGTGATCGCGGACTTCTGCATCGAGGGCAGCCTCGTATTTGGACGCAGATCGAGACGATTGGCACAAGTGCCCGCACCTCACGACGAACGCACTGAGCCCTCCAAAAGCCTGCAAGAGTGGCTTCAAACCCAGCACGCACATGTGGCCACAGCAATTCAACGAAAAAATAGTAGGCACACCTCCAGCAGCATCGTGGAGCCCGTGATTCGTAAACTCCTCGCGCCTCATCTTGCAGTCCTTCTCGCAGACGGCGACGATGTTGCTGTTCAGCATGAGGCAGTCTCGAATCAATCCCAAGTTCTTCCATATCGAATTGTTGAGGGCATTCCCGAGGATGCCGTCGCAGTCGACGCTGATGCCAGCGCTAGACGTGCCGTTGCATACTGCCCAGCGTCGCCACCTGTCCAACACCGTCGCGTAGTTCGCCTCGGGCAGCGGCTGCCCAGGGCTGGCCACCGTAGCAGCTGTTGTCACCGAGGGCCTCGCACGCACAGCGATCATCTTCACAACTGTCTCGCAAGAGTTGAGAACGGGAACGTGGACCATGGTGCCCATCTTCCGATGTCTCCGCAACGCCATTTGTGAGCTCTCTGGCGCCGCGGCGATAATGGTCTCGATGTCTTGGCGAGTTCGGGAAACCCACATTGATGCGTCGTCGAACGTGTTGACGAACTGCCAGCAGTCGGCGTCGGGGGCGCCGACGTCCAGCCAACTGCGCAAGCCACGTGCCTGCGCCACCGCGTGGGAAGTCAACAACCTCACGGTGTCCGCTTTTTCCGTGGGGCGTCGATCAATGCACACTGGTACCGCACAAGTATCATCTCCAGCAGCAGGCGTCGGTACCATCTGCACGCTCCTCTTGGCAGCCTCAGCGCTATGTGGAACTCCAGACATAAGATTATGAACTAGACTTTCGGCATGCAGCTGAATCCGCCTGGCAACCTCCGAGCGGGCATCATCAGCTCGCCGTCGCTGGTGTGATCCTCGCATCCGCGCGATCGTCAGATCGCTGTGCGAGAAGCCTGCCCGTCGCCCCTTGCCCTTGCCGCCTCGGCCTCGGCCGCCTCCGGCTCCTCGGCCGCGCCGACCTCGCCCGCGGCCGAGCCCTGGCCCTGGCGGCGGCGCGGCTGGCGCCTGCTCATCAGGCGCTCCTGCAGCTGGTGGCGCGACGAAAGCGCCAGCCACCAGCCCTGCAAACATGCTGAGGCTCTGCAGCAACATGCCGCGAGCCTGGGGCCAAAATGGCTTCGGATAAAGTGCGGCACAACTTCAGTGCTGAGTCAATCGTTCGCCTCGTGAGTGCCACTCTTGTTGTGGACTCTTGTCAAGGCACCCGCGAAGCACCGCGCGGCACGGCACTATGACGGACGGGGCACGGCACTGCGCGGCGCTGCGCGGCACCGCGCGACACTGCACGGCACTGCACAGCACGGCGGCACGGAACCGACTCCTCCTGAGCGGCGCGGCACTGGATATGAGGAGCGGTGGTGCGCGGGGGGGCACGGCACCCACGCGGCAACGTAAATCCGAAAGTGTGCGGATTGTTACATACATTCACACATACATGCGTACAGACATACAGACATACATACATACACGCATGCATGTAACCATGCATGTATACACATACCCACATACACGCATACAGAGATACATATATACATACATACATACTTACACACATACATGCTTACATACAATACATACGC